CCTTTCACGTGAGAAGTGATGTCTTCGTCAGGGGTAGGTATTATCACTTCTTTTTTCCCCCAATTGCAGTCCTTCTTTAACAGATCGAGGTGCTTCTCAGTAATCGAATACATGTACCTCGATACCGGCTCACACCGGCCAGGGACCGACGAACCTTTATCAACTTTAAAATCTGAAGTAAGGACGCACGCCTCGGGGACACACTCCTCTGGCAGTGGCTCCGCCGGTGTCTCATCGGCTACACAATGTGAAGATGAAGCTTTCTCTTTCTGAGGAATGGTTTGCGATGTTTTCGCCATTTTTGAATTCAAAAATAAGGAGTAGAAGAAAGTGATAAAGATTTGATAGAATTGAGGGGTCTTTTCGGAAAAAAATCACAGCTTTTTTGGTAGGCTGGAGAGTATAAAGAAGAAATTGAGAAATTTTAAAAGATAGAAGATGCAAAATGATAAAAGATAAAGGTGAGAATTATTTATAGGTTCAAAGCGACGGCGGTTCATTATCAGCAGTGGCCGACCACCGCCTGACATGCATTAAATGCCTTGAAAGACTAAACCGACAGGACAACTATCATATGCGTCATGGTCGAACTTGATGGAATCGACAAAATATAATCCGATCGAGCCGTTGAAAATCATATCGTTTCTCGTCATATTTCTTTCTGAGAAACGAGGGGACTATCTGTATACGGCCGAAATAGATTTCAGCCTTGGCATGTCCGGTACGGTTCGAAGGGTAGTATATCGAAGTAAGATCCCGAAGGGGGGGCACGAACTAACCTAGAGTCCGGGGAGGCCGGTCCGTGTTGAGATCGATATCATAATCAAACTCGAACAAGAATCGAACCATGGCGCGGGTAGATCTATCGTGCTGATAATCCAAAAACCAACCTACATCGACCTGGAATCCATCCGAGGCTCGAACCAGGATCGGGATCGAACCAAGATCACGAGTTCGAGCCGAAATCAAGCTCGAACCAAAATCGAGGATTCTAATCAAGATCGAGCTCGCAGACAAAAGCCGTTGTAATCCCACTAGAGGGAATCTTGGCAGAAATTATGGAAAAGCTGATTTATCATGGGTCTCCCACTGAATATTTATTTTATTATACTTGTAGCCAAACCCCTTCACTATAAAATGGCTTGTTTATCATTCTTGTAGGGCATCCTTTTCAGGGGCCATAGACTATCACAAACTGTATTATTTCCTCTATAAGAAAAAGAGTGATCTTTCTATTTTTTGAGATTGATTCTATTTCGTAAAATCTTAAATTCACTGTTCATAATTGATTCGCATGGATTACGTTTTCTCCAACCTATATTCATCCCTTTTATTTATCCTAGCATTCTGTGTTAAGTTGTACCACATATCTTCTGAACTGCGTATAAAAATATATTTTGATAGGTACAATTCGTTTCAAATTCACTACTATTATTTTCTCATTTCCTGGTATTGCCAGTTCATTATATCCAAGAACATAGAGTTTCCTCACCAATAAAGCCACCATAAGTACAGAGTCCAACACGTGCTCCTAAGTACAATACTTAATATTATGGTTGTATAAATAAAACCGACAAACCGAATCAACCCGATAATTCGAGTCAAATCGAGAAAAAAACCCGACTATGACTTGATTTGATTGATTTGGTGTTGGAAAATAAAACCCGACGATATTTGGTTTGGTTTGGTTTTAACTAAAAAAATTCAAACCGAAATCAAACTAACCCGATATTATATGTATAGAAGTTTTAAATATATTTAATACATAAAAATATTTATTGTAGTGTAATTTATAAATATTTCTTAAACTTTTTCATAATTTTATCTTTTAACGTATTATTTCAAGCTTGGACTTATAATTTTTGGATGCTCCAATAAGTTTTATAGTCCATAAATGTTAGTAACTCAAATAAATCCTAAACCAAAATCAAATTAATACTAATGATAATAAAATACATTCAATTCAATTGTAATATGAATGAAAATAGTGTTGGATATCTATTTTTTAGTATTTTCATGATTTAGATAAAATACATAACTTATTTTTCTTTTAGTGTTTAGTCATGTAAATAATAGTACTTATTAGTCATACTTATTTTAGCAATTTATTAGTAATTTTAATTATGTTTGTTTTCATTATGGCTTATTAATAATATATTTATTTTATGCGATTTTCTCATCTTTATTATTGAATATTTTAGTACAATATCATGAATCATCTCATATTTATGTTATTTTATTAAAAAAATACCTTATATAGTTTAGTCTTACTAAGATTAAAGAAATATTTGGAGTACAAATTCTATGTTTTGTCCTATGAATACTTTATGAAGAAAAAAAAAACGAAACAACCCGAAGACCCGAAAACCCCAAGAAAATCGAGGTTTAAAAACTCGACTTTGATTGGTTTGGTCTTTAGATTTAATAACTCGATATAATTAGTTTGATTTGGTAATTAAAAAATTTGAACCAACCCGACATATGTACCCTAGTTAATGCTACTTTAAAACTGCAGATTTAACTTTAATCTGGTTCATGTACCGACAAACAGGAACCCAGTAATCTGTGAATAAATTAAACTACTTTATAATAAGTACTCATAAAACTGAAAAATCCCAGTACGCACCCGATAGTAAAGAAAAAGTGCGAAACAAAACAAGTGACTTGGACGTTGGAAATTATCCAAAACCATCAAACTCTTGTCCAAACTTTCATCTATAAATATCCATTCTTACTATACTCACAAACTCATCAATTGATCTTGCAAAGCATCATTTACTGTCTTATATATCTTCTTTATCATTCGAAAGTTTTAATTTCATACAAACTGAAAATGGCAAAGAATGTGAGTTTGGCTTCAGTTGACCAAAAACTAGCCATGGCTAAGCGTTGTTCTCATGGTACTTTGCCTTTCTTGGATTGTACCTCAACCCCCCCACCCTTGATTTTTGCTATAATTTGATCATCTAATGAATGTTTTATATATCATGTTTGTAAATGTAGAAGGAGTAGTTGCAGGAGCAAAAGCAGCAGTAGTTGCAACAGTTGCAACTGCCATTCCAACTGTAAGCTACGCTATCTATTTCTATATTTTTCAATATTTAGGCTGTGTTTTATACCGTGGAAGTCATTTTCCGAATATAACTTAATTTTTTTAGTGTTTAGTTGGAGTGTAAAAAAATATGTTTAGGATAAAAGATATTGTATTTATTAAAATATTGATAATAATATTTTCAAACTAGATAGTATTTGATTGGATTTTTTAGTATTAAATATTGATAATAATATCAAAATATTATTTAGCTGCGAAAAAAAATTAAGAGTTGAGATATTTAAAAGAAATGATAAGTTTCGTCCAAAAGTTAGGAGGTCGTTGCCCTCTCTAGAAAATATTATTTGATAATCAAACACTAGAAAATAACTTCACACTAGAAAATAGACCGCTCTATCTTTACAAGATATGTATAAGGTCTGCATACATATTATCTTTCCCAAACTATACTTGCTAAATCACACTACATATACCGTTGTTGTTGTTGTTGTTGTAAACACCAGAAAATAACTTAATTGAAAATATTTTTCGTCGTACCAAATATATCCTTAGACAATATTCTTTTTGTTCTAATGTTTCAAAATTTGATGAATTATGCAGTTGGCCTGTGGGAAAATGCTACCTTGGGCAAGAGCTAATCTAAATCCAACTGCTAAAGCACTCATTATCTCTACAGCGGCTGGAATGGCATATTTTATTGTAGCAGACAAGACTATTCTTGCTACTGCTAGGCAAAACTCCTTCAAACAGGGCAACAATTGAATCACTAATTTAACTTTTTAAGTATTAATTTTAGCACTAAGTCTTATTTCATATCAACATTACTGTAATTCCTGTTTAAGTACAATTATGCGCGCGATTGATGAGAGAGGTCGGCTTTATTAGTTGACGAGACGTCTCTTTGTCCAATCATTAGGTAAGAAGTTCGAGTCACGTGAAATAATAGAGTGAATCAAAATGTGATTTTATGTATGTAATAGCACCATCTACATCTTTTGCTATGAATATAATAAAATTGGTTTTTCTTAAGCATTGCATTAGCTATTTTTTTGTCAATTCTATAAGTTAAATCAAATAAAGTGATCACCTGTTTTTGATGACTTTCCAATTTGAGAATCAACTGATGAGATTTTAAGGCTGCAGTGATAATTCATATATTCAGCAAAAAACAAAAGAGATAATTTATATCAAGGTATTTTTACCTAATCAGATCAAAGCAGAACAGTTACATTTGTGGAAAATTCTCCAGAATTTACTATCAGCAACAAGATAAATTCATCTTAAAATATGAAGGATGAATTAATGCTACATTACTTAATGCAATAGTGGTAAATTGGGACATCTGCAGAGTATATTTAGAAAAAGTTACATTGCTCGGACTCCTTAAAATGCTGTCATACTCATCGGATTCTCCAGAATTACATTACTTTTGAAGGATCCAACACGCATCCTATAGTATTTTTAGAGAGTCTGCATATTTTAAAAGTGCAAACAGTCAACCTCGCTAAGGTCAACTAAGATATAACAAGTAACTATTCTTAATAAGTGGAACTAGTAACCTACAAAATAGGACATACAATCAGTTCTAATAGATTAAATTAGGTTGATAATGTAAACCTTTTATGCTCTCAATATATATAGATCAAATCGGACAGGTGGAATACGATAATCTGTAAAAACAATAAGTAGCTAATACTATACTATATTACATTTTAAAATTCATTCATAATAAAAAGTTTACATCATAACTTAAATACATGGTTAATTCATTAAAATTGAGGAAACGAGAGTCCTAGCTTTTGGGCAGGTGTTAATAGTTGATAGAGTAGATAAGGGACTAGATCCTAAAATTCACGCATTTAGATGAGTAGCTTTTTTTATCCATGGGTTTTGGCTTTTGGGAATGCCTTTTTGTTCTTAATTCCCAAAACTACTAGCCAGTCTCCCCTGTTGTTTTTGGGACGGAAGTTATTTTTCAAGAAAATAATAATAAAAATTATATTTATTAGAAAGTTATTTTTTATTATTTAATCTAAAGAGCGAAAGCGATCCATTTTTTATGGTCGAAAGTCATTTTTCATACTAATTATCTTATTTCCGACATGATTCTGATTTCTGGGTACGGGGTAATTTTCGATGTGAATTCAAACATAAAATCACTTATACTTTTAAAAAATTTATATATGTAGAAGCTACATAAATAATACAATAATTCGCTACATTTAGCAATTGAAATATTTAAAAAGCATTTGAAAAATTGTGGTAAGAAAAATACTCCTTTTGACTCTCGAAATAATGATTATTTTATATAAATAGCTGAATAGTTTTTAACTTTATATTTTTCACTTTAACTAACATTTAAGATATTATTATTAATCTTTATTACTCAAAAACGTCATCAAAATACCTTCCAGTTTAATAATATTGTTATTCATTATAACTCAAAAAATATCATCAAAACACTTTCCAGTTTAATAATATTTTTATTAATCTTTTTGACTATATATTCTTGCCTGTGAGTATTCTTCACTCACCAACACTTGCTCAGTTGCTCCTGTCTGAGTACTTAATTATTAAAATCCATAGTTTCAGACAATTCGGTCTAGTTCGTGTACGGACAAACAAATCTAAAGAACCGACCACAACAGGAACCTTTTTTTTTACGCGAATCTGTTATCCGTTTTGAGGTCCGACTAATTTGTATCACGTAAGGTCTATTTTTATCATAATATTTTTTTATTCTTAAAGTTCGAACTCGGGACCTTTGATTAAGGATTTAGAAATCTTATCTATTCCACCACCAGGGGACTACAATAATTTTTTTCTCACTCGAGATCTAGTATCCGCTTTAGAGTCGGACTAATTCGTATTCGTACGCATAAGGTCTATTAAAGGGGAAACAAATCTTATTAGAATATATTTTTCATTCTCATAACTCTAATTACTCTTATTAGAACATGGTAACCTGCAAATACACTATTATAATAGTAGCAAAACTGAAAAATCCCAGTATGCAATAGTACTCCATAAATAAAAACAAAACTAGTTACTCGGACGTTGGAAATAAACCAAAACCATCAAACTGTTTGTCCAAACTTAAGCCCTGAAATCCCTATAAATATCCATTCTTATTGCACTGACAAATTAAATCATTCTTGCAAAGCAGAAATATTACTTTCCTATCTTCTACTTCAGTTGAAAGCTTTTCAAATACAAACAAAAATGGCAAAGAATGTGAGTTTGGCTTCAGTGGACCAAAAACTAGCCATGGCTAAGCGTTGCTCTCATGGTACTTTTGTCTTTCTTTGCTTGTACCTCGAACACCCCTGTAACAGCTCATGCCGCTAGTGATATTTTCAGTTCTGGGCATAGGCCCTCAAGAGTTTAAAACGTGTCACTAGGATTTAAGATTTGTTAACTTATATATCCATCGTCCCTTTCGTGATTTTCTGACGTGGGATACTGTATAAAATCTTGGGTGTTACACCCCTCCCAAAAAAAAAGAAGAAAGAACCCACCTTGATTTTTTATTAACCAACTAATGAATGATATATTTATTGTATATGCAGAAGGAGTAGTTGCAGGAGCAAAAGCAGCAGTCATTGCAACAGTTGCAACTGCCATTCCAACTGTAAGCTACACTATCTATTTCTATATTTTTCAATATTTAGTCTGTGTTTTATGCCATAGAGTATTAAGGATTGATAATAATGTCTAAGAGTTCGTTAAAGTTGTGAGATGAAGGTAGAAGTTGAGATAATTGTGAAGGAAAATAATTTCCGTCCAACATTGAATCATCTTCACGCAGAGGCGGAGTTAAGATTTTAGAACGACGATTTCAAGTGTTAATAACTGAGTTCTAAATTTAATATTTATACATATTTAGTGATTTTTTAAACACAAATACACTATTTGAGCAAAAGCAACCGGGGTTCGGCCGAATCCGTTGTCGGGCTTCTAGCTCCGTCCCTGTCTTCACGCATTTGGTGGAACATGTTAACCAACCACCAGAAAATAAAATGAGTTATTTCTTAGAGAACATTTTCTGGAAAATAATATTCGTCGTACCAAACAAATATTAATATTCTTTTTGTTCTAATATTTCAAATATTGATGAAAATGTGCAGTTTGCTTGTGGGAAGAAGTCACCTTGGGCAAGGGCCAATCTCAATCCAACTGCTAAAGCACTCATTGTATCCACAGCTGCTGGAATGGCATATTTTATTGTAGCAGACAAGACTATTCTTGCAACAGCAAGGCAAAACTCCTTCAAACAGGGCTAATTAAGGCTCAGTCCCTGACAATCAATTGAATCACTAAACTTTTCTAGTATTTTAGCACTAAGTTTTATTCTGATATCAACATTACTGTAATCACTGTTTAAGTACACAATTACGCGATTGATGAGAGCGGTCGTCTCAGTTGATGAGACGCCTCCCTGTACAATCAGTAGGTCAGAGGTTCGAGTCACGTGAGATAAGTAGAAACCTCTATTGATCCCCGGCAATAGTGCATAGTGCACACCAAAAAAATGTCATTCCGTCTATGTGTTACCAACATCTATTGTTGTAAATATAATAAAGTTGGCCTTTCTTAAACTCGATAACCTTGATTAGATGAAATAACCTGGTTTTGATGCCTTCTGCAATTGGCGAATCATTTAAAGCCACTGGCGACATTATCTTCTTCATAACCATTTCAAGATTACAGTATATTTTGTAAAGCTTAGCTACCACTGTTGCAGTATTTGAAATCGTCGATGGAGTTTACAGAGAATAATGTACAAAATTATGTCCATCTTAATGATCTACATTTTGGATAATCTGCAATATACCAAGTTATTTTCTCAGCTAGAGAAGTAGCATCTTTATCGGCTATTATCATTTGCTTCTCTCAAATACATGAGAGCATATACTGAGCCATCACTTGCTTGATCTTTGCCAGTTCACCAGTAGTCTGTGCATGAGCAAACTCCATCCTTGAAATGGTGAAATCGGTTCCTATCTCTTGCAATGATCTCCCTATTAAATATCTTAGATATTAACTTCGTGGCTTCGTGACAATTGCCACACACTCTAAGGTTCTTAACAATCCTGAGAGTTGTCCCCGGTTTGGTACTGATCAATCCAAAGGCAATCGCCAACTTCTCGCTATGTTCACTTAGTTTCCCCTCCTTCCACTCCTCATCCATCTCATAATGTACCTCAGATGTATCTGGAACATGGCCAGCCATTTCCAATAGCCTGTCAACTTCATCTAGCATCTTATAAATATCGTTGCTTTGCGGATGTGTTCTATCACTAACAAGAAACTCATGGACTACTCTATCAATCTCAATGGAGGTACAGCCGGGAACTTTCTTCATTCCTTTATCATTTAAAAAGGTTCTTATCAATGCTACTTTGTCCCATTCTCCAGCACCTGCATAAATGTTGGATAAGAGCACATAAGCACCAGGATTTTCACGTTCCAGTTCAAATAGGTTCTTGGCAGCATATTCACCCAACTCAAGATTCTTGTGGATTCTACAAGCCCCTAGCAAGGAACCCCATATTGCACCATCGGGTTTCATGTCCATGCTTTCGATCATGGCCATTGCTTCATCGAATTTCCCTGCTCGTCCTAGAAGGTCAATCATACATCCATAATGTTGCAACTTTGGCGTGTAGTTGTAGCTTTGGATCATGGTATTAAAATATTCTTGACCAAGATCCACTAAACCAGCGTGACTACACGCTGTTAAAACACTAACGAACGTTATATCGTCTGGCTTCATTCCTTCCTCTGTCATTTTCCGGAAAAGCTCTAGAGCTTCATATGCATCGCCATGCATTGCTAGCCCTGAGATCATCACATTATATGAAGCTAGAGTTTTAGTTTTCATTCCCTGAAAGACTTGTTTTGCTGCTGTGATGGCTCCACATTTTGCATACATATTTATCAGAGTAGTCCAAAGAGAAGTGTTTTGTAAGTGTTGATAATGCTTGTTAATATAGGCATGTATCCACTTGCCAAGATCTAGAGCACCTA